CTAGTAAGCATTGGCATTGCTTGCTGAAATAGAAGAGATTTCCTTCCCCCAGGCTCTTAAACTTTGGAAGTATTTTCCCTCTAATAAAATGAACTGCGGCAGGTTTTCTTGATCTAAGACACAGCTTGAGAACCAGTTTCCCCCGTTTGAGCAAAAAGGGTACAAATCAGCCACTTTCACAGTCAACAGATACAAGGTCCAAAAACTGAGGGGCGCCAGCCTGCAAGCTGTTGAATTCACTGAAATATCCATCAGACAGGATGAGGATTCTTTTGAATAAGAATAAATTTCATTGCCTTGGACCGCAAGAAGATCAAACCATCCATACTCCAGGAAATAAAGCCCGACTGCTCACTGGAGGGAAGGATATTAGACGCAAAGATGAAGTATTTTGGCCACATAATGAGAAGGCAGGAAAGCTTAGAGAAGATAATGATGCTGGGGAAAATGGAAGGATAAAGAAAGAAGGGCCGACCAAAGGCAAGATGGGTAGATGGCATCCTTGAAGTGACTGGCTTGATCTTCTAGGAGCTGGGGGTGGCGATGGCTGACAGGGAGCTCTGGTGTGGGCTAGTCCATGCGGTCAAGAAGAGTCGGAAGCAACTAAACAACAAAAAAACTTAATTGAATAAAATATATCATTTCATGTACTTTCCTTTTATTGGTCTGTTAAAAACACTAGACTTATGATTCAGGCCAAAGACCTGTTTTGCCCAGCATAATTTTGTCCAGCAAGATATATCTACCATGATTAATAGACACTAATTCTCCAATTTCCACCAATTTATTCTGTCCCCTTTTAGAACTGTCCAAATAGACAGTCATCACTGCTGCTTGAAATAGCAAGCTTCACAGTTTACCTATGCACTGTTTTAAAAGATACTTCATTTTATCTATCCAGAATTTTTCACCGTTCAGCATAATCCTATATCTATTATTACAGAGAGAATTGCTATTATTATTATTATTATTATTATTATTATTATTATTATTATTATTATTATTTTATTATTATTATTATTATTATTATTCTGCCCTATCTCCCCAGGGGGACTTGGGGCAGATTCCAACATACAAAAAGGCAAACAGTCAATGCCTCAATTAAAGAAACAAATACCAACATATTAATCTGGAATAATCCCACATATGAAAACAACATTAGAACCTAACATCAATAAATTAAAGAAGTTTCTTATCTATTTTAAATGTATGGTCACTCCCGTTTCTCGGATAAACCTTTACATTTTTGTACCTTTTTTGTTGGGAGAGTTGCATTTCTTCAATCACTGCAAGTACGGGCAGTCCCCAAGTTAAAAACAATTTAGTCTAGAAAACTGTAGGAATGATGTCTGGACTGGACCGGAAGTAGTGGGTTTATCCCGCGCCTTCCAAGAAGGCGTGGAATAAACCCACTATCTAATTAATTCGCCACAAACCAGGGTAGGCAATTCCTCAGGTGTCTAGAAGGTGATGTCTCAAGTGGTCTTCTAAGTAAATGGTTTGGGCTATATAGTTGAATGTGACGGAATGCCTACAGTTTTCACAAAATGACATTTAACGCCTACTAACAGTGGAATTATTACTTCTTTCTTGGAATATTGCTGACTAGACATCCAAGAGACTTGACCCCAATTTCATAAATTATTTCACTTCATTCAATATTATTTTACTCCAAAAAAAACCTTTGTATCAATTCCCTGTCCCCAGTTGATGGATTTCCCACAGTTGATCTTGTGGTTCTTACAGGGGAGAAGGGCAGAACTAAAGAAGGATTAGCTCTTCTCAATTCTACAAGCCTCTAGGCAACAGTGGTTAAATTGCATCCATTTATACACACTGTTTCTTAATGTTACTTCCCTCCAGAGATGAGACAAGAGCAAACAACTGAAATCAACAGTAATTGCTATACTTCATTTAGTAGTCATAATTTTGTGTGGGTGTGCAATACAATTCTGACAGATCCTTAACACTGTGATTTTTCCCCAGATTCAACGCATAAAGTATGATTCTATTGATAGCAGATTCCCCAATCACCTTTGCTCTATGATTTTGAGGTCTAAAAGTAACAAAATGCATTCAGTTCAGTCTCTTCCTTTTGAAGGTTTCAGACACTCTTTTTTTTCTGTGCTTGGCACCTAGTACAAGTAAGAGCTTAGATAAGGCAGAGATTGCTTATCAGCTATACTGTTCATGCCATGTTTTTGGACTGAATGCTGTAGAAATGAGACAGGGAAGGGAAGCACAATACAGTTCAGTCATTATTACTGTGCCGCCAAGCTCAGTTTGCAAGGATCAAAGAGACTTGCCTAAGTCAAAGAGACTATTTAGGAATGTTAATCCTTCAGTTTAAGTCATGTACGCCACTTCAAGTGCTAATGGGCAGAAAAATAAACACAAGGGTTGCAATCCTGAAGGGATGCAAACATATGCAAAGCTCTACTGGGCTCTTGATGGAAGAACAGAAGTACTTGTGAAGCTTGGGTTTATTTTTTTCTTTTATGACTTTTATTCTCCCCAGATATGATTCTTACCAGTACTTCCCCCTTCCCATTGCAAAAAAAATCCAGTAAAAACCTGCTAGAGTGCACATGCATTTCTCTGTGTTCCCAAAGTGTGGTTAAGGCTGCCAGGACAGGAGCCTCCCAGATTCGTGAGATTTCAGAGCTGCAACTTAGGGATTGCTCCTGCTGATGATGTTACAATATTTCTGGGGGCATCATATTTTCCCCTGGGGCCTTACTCAGAGCCAGGGCTGCAATCAATTTCTTCACCTCAGAAGATGACACAGGGGACCAATAAAGCAAACATGTGGTATTGGGAACACTGGTAGGATGGTTTTCTGAAGAAGTAGCTTCGTAGAGCTTGCTAAAATGGTCAAACCATTGCTGTGTTGAAATATGCTCTAGGACTACTGGCCTGACTGTATGCATTCCGGTTGAAATAATATCCCAGAACTGCTTCTCATTTTTTTTCAGACACAGCTAATGCTAATTGGTTCCACTGAGCTCTAACGTGTGTGTCTTTTTTCTTCTTTAAGAGTGTTTTATATGAAGCCCTCATGTGAGCTAGACTTGCAGTGACAGTACTATCCTTGTTTCTAAGTATATGTTTGGAATACTCCATTAGAGCTAGCCTGGTGCTTCTGCATTCAGAATCAAACCATCTGTTAGTTCCCACCTTGTTGGGGTTTAGTTGTTTGCTACAGACCAGTTTGGGTCTGAGATTTTGAATGATGGATTGATAGGCATTTAAAGTGTCTGTATTAGAGTCTAGGATGTATTGTCTGCAAAATCTATAGGGGTTGCTCTCGAATATGTGCAGAATGGAGTTGCCTAGGTTGACTGACCACCTTATTCTCCGTTCTCCAACATGGATTCCATTTAGATTTTGTGAATTTTGAGAGGATTGTGTTGGAGATGATGTTTCAAAATTAAATAGGAGTGACAGAGGAAAATGATCACTCTCGACCCTATTATTAATTGCAAATCTTTGGATATCAGGTAGCAGGTTGGCAGAAACTGCCATATAATCAATAGATGAGTCCCAGTGATATTATAGGGAGTGGACCCGGCAATGATATTAAGCATGATAGATTTAGGCCACTTCCAAACAGCACTTAAATGAGCACCAAAACAAGTTTAAGTCCACACACATTCTCCTAAAGCATGTGCTTTCTCCAGGAGATGCCTAGATGCCCACCCAGTACCTTCCAAGAGGGCACCCAGACACCCAACCTCCCCCCCCCAAAAAAAGGCCTTAAAATTACAAGAACTTACCCAGCTGCCATTAAGGTCTTGTAGAAATGACATGACGGGGTGGGGGGGGTGGGAGGAGTAATTTTTCTTCTGCTCCTTTTCTCCTGGTGCCAGGATTTCTACACAACAGGAGGACTCCAGCAGGACCTTAATAGAGTTGGGTACATTCTTTTAATTTCTAAGGCCTTTTGGGGGTTGGTGCCCTCTGGGTTTTCCAGGCTCATGCAGCCCAAAAAGCCTGAGAGGGCTGTGTGGATTGTGCTCAGGGATTGCGTGACACACTGGGCCTATACCTGGAAAGGTCTGGAACTCATCAAAGATCTGGGTCTTACCAGGTATCTAATTAATTTGGGACAAAGCTTTGTCTCAAATCAATTCAGTTTTACTGGAGACAGCTTTTGGACTACTCTGGTAAAACCACGGGAGCTCCCACAGTATGAGCCCTGTCTGGATGGACCCACAGTGTCAATCCCAGTTTTTGTTTTTGTTTTTTTGACTCAGAACATATTACTCAAATAAGAAGTACAAAATAAAACAAATTAAAAAAATCTGTTTTGGGAATTAAGGCCCATCTAAGTCAACATTAAGTCAGCTGAACTTGTTTTAAATACAAATATCTCCCAGACTAACTATGTTTGAAATTATTTTGAGAACTGAATCTAATGTGTCCTAGCTTTGTCTCAGGACAATGACTATGGCTGAATTGGGAGAGTTTTAGAAACCCTGACTCCATTTTGTCTTCTTTTTTTCTCTACTTTTGACACATCTTAACCTGATAAAGCAATTCACATGGGAAAGGAGTTCACAAGAATCTGTGTTCTGCCAATATAAGGGCCTTACTACCAGCTGGAGGGAGTTTCCATTGACAGAAGAAGCTTCTGCTAAATCCTAGCCCCATATAACCAGTGAATCTTTGAGTTCGTAAAACATGTGCATACTAGAACCATATGAATAACTTTAATAAGCTTTTCTTTCCTAATAATGGTCTATCTGAAAGTGATGAGGTTCTTAAAATGAGGAAATGTCAACTATATAACTGAAACAACTTTAAGAAGGTGAACCTAGGTTTGAAGCCTAGGTTCACAAGAAAACCATAAAAAATAGCATGAATACAGACTAAGTGTGATTGTTGCTGTAACAGTAAGTCAAAAAATGTCATAATGATTTAAGGTGTTTCCTTCCTTTATAAACTTCTCGTGTTGTTCTCTTTTCCTCCTCCTCCTCTTTCTTTTTTTATTATTATAGTGCTGGAGTTGGCAGGACCGGCTGTTTCATTGTAATAGATGCCATGCTAGAGAGAATAAAGCATGAAAAGACTGTAGATATTTATGGCCATGTAACTCTAATGAGAGCCCAGAGGAATTACATGGTTCAAACAGAGGACCAATACATCTTTATCCATGATGCACTGCTTGAAGCAGTGACATGTGGAAATACCGAAGTGCCAGCTAGAAACCTGTATGCATATATTCAGAAGCTGACACAGATAGAAGCAGGAGAGAATGTCACAGGAATGGAACTGGAATTTAAGGTATGTCATACAAAGGGGTTTGGTTTGGCTTTATAGTGATACTAGGGGAAAAGATGGGATGGGTTTCATTTTTTTCTAGATCAAAAGTATATGTTTTGTAGATTTCCCTGTAGAAGAGAAGCTTTTAATACGATGAATGAAATATTGATCTTATGTGTCTTTTCTTCACTTACCTGCAGCGGCTAGCCAGTTCTAAAGCCCACACTTCAAGATTCATCAGTGCCAATCTTCCATGTAATAAATTTAAAAATCGCCTTGTTAATATTATGCCATATGAATCCACGAGGATATGTTTGCAGCCTATCCGAGGGGTAGAAGGCTCTGATTATATCAATGCCAGTTTTATCGATGGATACAGGTATTTTTCAGAAGGGATAAAAACGATTTAGAACATAAGTATGTGCCAGTATTTTGCAATCTGTTTTGCAAAAGATTATCCATAATGTGAATACCATGTGGAATAGCTTCTAATTCCTACAGGAGTAGCTGTATACTATAATTTCTTCCCATACCACTCAACAGTATCAAATATTTGGTCCCATGGAAAACATCTCCATTGAGACTTCAAACCATGCAGCATTGCTTCCAGCTGACTTGCTCTCGAGAGAATGAATCATTCTATGCCCTTTCCTCTGGGAGCCCATATCTTCTTCCAACACGAAAAGACTACCATACAAGGAGCAAATACTGCAGCATTCATCATGTTACTCAGGGAAATAAAACGGCTATCATATGGAATTCTGTTTGATCTTCACATGGCTTAAAGAACTCAGAATTGTATTTATAAAAATGAATTTGTTATTCATTACTTTTCAAATCACCTTTAATTTTAAGAGTATTGTGCCATTTACATACAACTTTTTAGTTGTAGGATTTTGTGCACCCCCGGTTATGTTTGGAAATAAAAAGCAAGCATTATTTATTGCAATAAAATAATTTATCAGTTACTAGTTGTTACATTAAACATTATACTCTCATCATTGAAAACATCAGTAGTTCTGACTGTCGAGAGATACCTCATAACAGCTTCATTCTCATGTATTCCAGTAATAAAATACTAACATGTGGAAACTTAATCTTATTTTTCTAGTTCTAGTTTTTTGGCAGTGAAACAGTAAGCAGATAGGATAGGAATATACCATGATTACTAATAGTAGACTTCATAGCAATGGATAGGAGCCCCCGGTGGCACAGTGGGTTAAAGCCCTGTGCTGGCAGGACTGAAGACCAACAGGTCGCAGGTTCGAATCCGGGGAGAGGCGGATGAGCTCCCTCTATCAGCTCCAGCTCCTCATGCGGGGACATGAGAGAAGCCTCCCACAAGGATGATAAAACATCAAAATCATCCGGGCGTCCCCTGGGCAACGTCCTTGCAGACAGCCAATTCTCTCACAACAGGATTCTCCTGACACGACCAAAAAAAAAAATAGCAATGGATTATTTAAGATACTACACAGATGTTGAATATGTGGATTAAGCATCTATATGTAGATAGTAGATTGTCCTCTTCCAGGATGAAATGTATAGCAGTTTGTATTGGCAGCCTAAAACATGACATTTTGCCATGACTTCCAAGTTCTCCACATTTTTGCTGATGTTCCCAAGTTGATGAAGAGATAACAAAGAAGTACTTTGAAGCCATAAGTCATACACTCAATAGACTGTGTGACAGTCAGCCTTGAATGCAAAACTGGAGCTGTACCACTAAGTGTTTCCTAAGTGCTTTCTGTACACACAAAATTGAGCTATTAGAATTGCATTAAAATTTAAATAAGACAAAAGACATAAATCACAATATTAACAGAGCAATTCCTTCTACACATTTCCAAAAATAACCCAATGCTATTGTTTGATTAAACAATCTTTAATATGTTTTTAATGTGCTTATAATCAATAATTTACAGCTGTACGTTTCACAGAATGATGTTTTGCCAGAATGTTTATATGCAACATGAGAAGCTTTGACTTTTCTTTGATTGATAAATATTTACTCTTGTATTTTAAATGTAGGCAACAAAAAGCCTATATAGCTACACAAGGACCTTTGGCAGAAACAACAGAAGATTTCTGGAGAATGCTTTGGGAGCATAATTCTACCATTGTAGTCATGCTTACTAAGCTACGAGAAATGGGCAGAGTAAGTATCCAGCATATTTCCAGAAATTAAATGTCAGAAATTATTTTGGCATAGAAACTCCAATACTAAAATGGAGTTTCTAGCCAAATTGTTGCTTCTTATACTACTTTTAAAAGACCAAGTGCATTCCTGTATCTCGTAAGAAAAAGTTGCTACCCTGGATAACATGAATTATGGCACAGATATTATAAGGCAAACCAAAAATCCCAGTAACTCCTCTGGGTCAAAATCTAGCTTTAAAAAGGTTTCTGTAGAAGAAGGGACAAGATTCTCTTAATCAGGTTGTTTGAGTCCAAACAGTTTGGCTGTACAGATGACACTACACAGCAACTTGGAAGAATCTGAGTGGGGAGCATCCCTTATTCCTGTAAACGGAATACTCACTCCATACAGGAAAAGTGTGGAAGGGTTTTAGACATTTTTACCAAGGGCATTTGCAGGCTTCCAGCAGACAGCTCTTCTCCTTTCCCGTGACAGATGCACAGTTGAATCTTGGATCCATGCCATGCAGCCGCAAAAATAATTACGCCTTTTTATTTAGCTCGCAATTTTGTTCTACATTTTAAAATTGAAAATATTAAAAACTGATTCTACTCTCCATCAGAACTCATACAATCTCCATCAGAGTTCTGTGTGTTAATATACTCGAGAAGCATTATTCTTCTCTGTTCTTTGTGTTGGATTTTGCAGAGCAAAGCAGAACCAACAGCAGAACTCCACTATATATGTAATAACCCAGGCTAATTGAGGAAAAGTGAGAGTCATCATCATGGAGTCATATGTAAAATTAAGATCAAACTGATGGTGATGTATGTGTAGGGATTACTGAAGTGGTTGTAGCATTAAATATTCTTGTTGTTGTGTACTGAAACAGTTTGAGAGATAGAATTTTTCAGATGAGTTCCTGAATATTACCTTGTGCATTACCAAGGGCACTCAACACATACGAACTTTTAAAAGGCATATCAGAAGCTCATCTCAAATCATGGGAAACAAATTCCTGGCCTGACTTAGTAACACTTGACAAATGGAATGCTGATGATGTGTCAGTTGAATCATTTTGCGGATCAGAAGATTTAGATATAATACAATACCAAGAGTTCTAGAAATTGAAAATTATACATAAATAGTATTTCCAAGGAGAATTCCAATTTTTTTTACAACCAACGCAAGGTGAGTACCAAAATATCTGTCAAGTGCTTCAGAAATAAAAATATTCTTATATCCCATAAAACATAGGAAACCAAAATCCATAATCCTTATAAAGACCAAAGCTTAGCAAGTTCAAAGATCTTGTATCAGGAGACATACCTATATATCTTGATACTTATTCAAAAGAGTCTGGACAATGGAGCATTGAGTTATGATACATCCAGCCCTTTCTCAGGACTCTCTTGCCCCTGATCAATATGGCTTACAAGCAAGATTTTAGGTAAGGTTCTGCTTCTTAACTGAGTCTGACCATTGTAAAAGATATTCTGGCTAGGTAAGAAGTGGTATCCTGAATCCCAGGATATTTAGGAAGAAGGCAAGCATTGCTTTAAAATATAAACTGTAGTTTTTCTTCAAGATCAACCCTCTCCCCTCCTGCTGACAAGAAAATGGTGTTAGCGTTGCATTCAAGAGAACAATCAGTGCTTCATTGTCTTGTCTACATCTGCCCTTTTTGCATAGCTCCTTTTTGCATGTGAGGCACAAACTTTGTAATTATCACGTTGGGCCTTTTCTTTGGAACTCCTCATGGAATAACATTAAGGTCATGTTTTGCTCCACCCAGAGGTGTTTCCTTCACTCCAGGGGAAAGCCCCTCCGTTAGAAAAGATAAATGAAAGGGCAAAGCAAGGCAGAACCTACAAAGGTGTAGAACAAGTGCCACAGATTTTCCAGAGCAGAAATTTCCAAAGATTCCCAGCAATGCAGGACCAGAAGGATCCCAAAGAAAGGAAGCAGACTCTCCAGAAGCAAAGGGTCCCTAGAGAAAGAGAGATAGATTTGGACTCTTCTTCACATTAAAAGGAGAGAAAATTATTGTATGTCTTGGGTCTGAAACCCCTTAAGCTGAGCTTCATATCCCTCAGCCCCCTTGGATGGTTCAAGAGTAGGGTTTTTAGCACCTTTTTCCCCCATTGAGAAACATCTTGTATTGAACACAGACTGTGGTATTTGATTTCTATGGCTATCTTTTTCTGTCTTCTTGATAAAGAAATGATTGGGGGGTTTGGCTTCAAAATAAAAAAATACTGAAGCCACGGTGGCACAATGGGTTAAATTCTTGTGTTGGGTGAACTGCTGACCTGAAAGTCGGCAGTTCAAATCCGCAAGATGGAGTGAGCTTCCATCTGTCAGCTCCAGCTCTCATGCGGGGACATGAGAGAAGCCTCCCACAGGATGGTAACACATCTGGGCATCCCCTGGGCAACATCCTTGCAGACAGCCAATTCTCTCACACCAGAAGCAACTTGCAGTTTCTCAAGTCGCTTCTGACACTATAAAAAAATCCTCAAAATAGATATGTTTGATTGCAGTTGTGGGTTGTTTGCCCATTTTTAACAACAGGTGTCAGTTATATTGGATGTCAGCAGCAAAACATTAATTTTGTTTAAAGCATCATAAAATTCTTTGCTTTACTTTGGTTCTGAGAACTTAAAATATAAAAAATGGTGCTTTTATTCACTTTGTAATAGTTATATGAAATAAAGATGTTAAGCCATTTCATTATGGAAGTGTAGCAATTTGCAAATTGAAAAGCTGATGTGTTCCTTTCCTCTATGATCACAAAAAGAAAATATAGTCATAAATCCATATTTTAGTCTAAATTAGAATAGCCAGTTCAGTCAATGGAACTGATTTGAGTATTGACTTACTCACTTCCCATCAAACTGATGAGTTTACTGTAGTTGGCAGTAGCTGTTCTATTTAGGCCATAATGTTATATGTTTAATATAGCTGGATGTTAAAATTAAATTGCCAATAGACTGGTTAAAAGTATTAAGTCTTGTTTTTCATAAATTCCTTGGTAGTTCTCCTATTTTCCTTTTCTGTTCTGCAGATTGCTTACAGCCTTAAACTTTATTATGCTTCCTCAGAACTTTGCCAAGACAACAAACCCATTAGCGATAAAAGAGTTATATTCTAATAAAACATGAACAGGGTTGCAACATTTTCTGCAGACATGTAGTAGCCTTATGCAGCTGGACACAAACAAGAAACATGGGGTTTTATTTGTCTTGGAGTCGTGAGTTTCTAGTTCTCAAGATAGAAAAAGTGAGGAAAAATCTATCTGTAGTCTAAAGTAGTTTGTGGGTCAGAATATCTCACATATAAAAATGATAGTTTCAGTCTAGAACATAATGGATGATAGAAATATTCAGGAGAGGCAGGGAAAGATATTTGATAAATGAAGTCATAGAGCAGTGCTTTCCAGGAGGTGTTGGAAGAGACAAGGCAGGACATTGTCAAAGAAAAGAAAGCTGTGGACATGAAGAATAAAATCAAGGTAGGCAGCATATTTTCAAGCAGACAGAAATAATCAAGTAAAGGTTGTCTGAGGGAGAGAAGAAAAAAATAGGTAGGTGGAATTTAAGATTGCAGAGTATAAGTATTGGGGGCATATGAGAGGCAGAAAAGTGACAAGGCAGATTAGTGGGACAAGGTGGAACTTATATCAAAAGCCAAATGAAAGGGGGAAGAGGGCACGAGAAGAATGGGTTTTTCATTCAGTGTGATGGCTCAATCAGGAGAGTGAGATATAAAGGCTTTTTAAGTCATCTGTAAAACTGCCCTGCGTTAAGAACTCATCCTCTTCCACTGTAATTGTTCGGAATGTATATTCAGGACACACAAAATGAAATACTTCTTCACATTATGCATAATGGATGTATTGGATTCACTGCCACAAAATATGGCAGTGCCATAATGAAATGGCCTTAAAGGAGCATTTTACATACTTCTGATCCACAGACATGTGTGTAAATATCAGCTCTGATGGCTGAATTTCCATGCTAAGAAGCAGTTTGTAACTAAATATTAGTTACTTTGACCCACAGGGGATGAGGACTATAGTTTTTGTGGACAATTTGTAGGCTTGCCGGAGAGAGAGCTAGTTAGCTACTGTAGATAAAAGGTCATGGTGGTCTTAAATTGGATCTAGTACGAAATTCCTTTTACCACAATGAATTCTTAGAATATAGAAAAGATTTCGGATTCCATACTTTGAAAACCTAAAATCCCCAAGCTAGCATGCTTAGCCAATGGCCAATTTCTAAATTCTAAGTCTATGTCTTTGCCTATCCTGAGATGTAGTCCTTCACATAATAGTATACTGGAAAAATGAATAAACATGTTCTATGTGTTCCCCATCCCCGCCCCCTTACAGGAGAAATGTCACCAGTATTGGCCAGCAGAACGTTCAGCCAGGTATCAGTACTTTGTGGTGGATCCCATGGCAGAGTACAACATGCCACAGTATATTTTAAGAGAATTCAAGGTCACAGATGCCAGGGTAAGTGAAGCCAAACATGTTTTCACTCTCTGCCTGACTATGGAAACTCACTGGGTGACCTCACACAAGTTGCTCTTCGGAGGAAAGCAAAGACACACCCCTCTGAACAAATCTTGCCAAGAAAACCTTGTGATGGGGTTACTTTAAGTTGGAAATGACTGGGAGGCACACAACAATAATAATAATTCATATTGGAATGTGTTTGTTTCACACTTTTACTAATCTTGTTTCAGAGCACGTATTTCTAATCTATTGAGAAACTGTTCACCTTACATTCCTTTGAACCTCCATTGATAACCTCACCCCATATGTTTCCCCACATCCTTGGGGTCTCCCCCCCCCAAAAAAAAATCACTCGCTTGTGACTCCCCCAACAAGATGGATCTAACTTAACAAAGGATCACAAAGAAATGTTTGTTTTTGTCTCTGTTTAAAGAATTAAAAATTTTTACAAGGCTATGCCCTCAAAGTGATACATAATTGCTGCATTAATAAGCATACAGATATACTGAGAGGCTACTCTAAATCCCGCAAGGTAATCAAAATCTAAACTTATGAGTAATGTCTCCCCATGGACTCTTGCACATTTTATATGCACTAGAGATAAATTAGCCTGGATAACCTTGGCAACAGTTTCCTTTGATTGAAGTGCTGTTCTTGAGTGCCAGGTTGGTGAATAGGGAAACAGCTGTCATTCAGAACTTGATCCTGGATGATCATGCCAGAATGGCTTGTATCACAGAGATATGGTTGGATGAGGCAAGTGGTAAGGGTAATCACTCTCTCCTTTCCTTGCCAGATTTTTCTGTGTAGCCTCAGACAAGATCTGGGTAAGGGAGGAGGTAGAATTGCATTGGTCTGTCAGAATCCCCACAAGGTGCCCTGTCCCACAGCCTGGGCTGTGTATATCTGAAGGTTGATAACTGAGACAGAATAGGGATTGTGTTGGTATACTGCCCGTTCTGCTACAGAAGCATCTACTTTCTGAGCAAACTGGGGTGATCTTGGGGTTGGTATTACACACCCTTCAATCTGCAGTACTGAATAATTTCAACATCCATGCTGAGGCTGCCATGACAACCTGGGTCTGTTTTAAGTGTTTAGACCCACCCATGCTTTTGGACACACAAGACCTTGTCTTCTTTGCTAATTGGAATGACAATGATCTCGGTGTGGAGGAACTTTGTGTAGTTTTGATGCCATTACTTAGTTAAGTTTAGTCATTAGAGCCCAAAATTCCTGTAAGGTTGGGGAACTAATTAACATGGTCCTTCCCAAGAGACTAATGGTTCCAGGCGGTTTCCTGACACCTCCAGTCAATTTTCGTGTTGCTTTAGCTAGCAATTTTGTCAAAGCGCAAGCTGATACTGGAATATGCTGCCTGAGATTGTGGTGGAGTCTCCTTTTCTGGAGGTTTTTAAACGGAGTCTAGATGACCATCTGTCATGGGTGCTGTGATGGTGTGTTTCTATAGAGCAGAGATTAGAACGATCTCTTTCAACTCTAGGATTCTATATCCTCAGAAATGAGGAAATGGTAACTGTGATGGACAAATTGCTTCCTCATGTTCTCTCATATGGAGTAGAGTCAGATTTTTTGCAACCACCCGAAAAGTAGAAAGTGATCAAAGGGCCCGACGATGGAAAAGATGGAAATGTGGGACGGTGAAGATAGAAGTCTATTCCTACCATCACAGTTGTCATAAGCACTTAAGGCTGTGGAATTGGGATATTTAATGCGATTAAAAATTAGCCAGATATAATTGCACAGCAGAGACCACAAGCCTTGGGGTCGCAGGAACCCACATCCCAGGTGATTCAGAGTGACTCAGCAATGTTGATAACACTGATTCAAAGTGACTCTGCAGGTAGCAGCAATGTCCTCTGGCAGCGGTGTCCTCTAGGTGCTAGTGGCAATGGCGGCGGCTGGCTTCCTCCACCATCTCTACTTCAGTTCTTCAGATCTATAAGATGCCCCAGGAGGGTTTCTCTCCCTCTATTTTATAGTTAGCTTTTGTACATTTTAGCTAGATGGTTTTATGCACGTTTTAAATTAGAGCGGAATGATCCAGCAGTATTTTCTGGTATTGATGCCTGAGAATGGGCTGCTACCACTGTAGTACTGTGCTTTCTTAGTTCCAAGCAAACAGTGAATTTGGACTGACTAGGTACCATGATTCACCATGTTAAATTCCACAGAGCTCTTGGTACTCAGCCATTTATATTAAAATATGTAATATCTTTTCAGAGGAAAGTGGTTCATGTTCAAACTTAATGTTTAATCAGCATAAGTTTGAGTAAATAATTTTTATAATGTTTGGTCTGAAAAGCATTTAATAGTTCAAAAGACCAGGCTACTGTTCACCTTTCCACTCTGTCTCACTGTCTCCTAGTACTATTTAAAGGGATTTTTTCCCAATGAGACTGTAAATATGTTGTTGTTTTGCAACAGCTCTTTAAGTCCTGCGAGCTTGAAGGTTAATATGGTGTGATTTAAAAACTGCAGAGCAAATAGCATTCTTAAGGGAAGCTTGACAAGCTTTACACATTATAATTTGATTCTTGGCATTGCTTATTCCTCCACATTCTAATCTGTCTGCAGAGAAGAGCTACACGGCCATGACCCTAGCTGGCTAATTTTCATTTTGCATTTCTTATCTGTACAGCTGAGTCGGAGGTTCAGAGCTGATGTAAGATTAACAGTATATAAACACTTTTATAGACCGTGCTCCTGCCATTTCCAAGCTGTGATTTATAACACTACAGACTTGATAGCAGGGCAAACCCCCTTGACTTTTTCATTCTTGGAAGCCTTGTTGATTAGAAAAAATCTAACAGATTGACATGCTTACATGGGAAAAAATGACCGCCCAGTAAGAATTCCAGTTCATCACCAGAACATTCCAAACTTTTTTTCCTATTTCTCGTGTACTTAGAGATATTGAAGGCATCAACTTTGAAGAGTAATCAAAAGTTTTATTTTGCTGTTTGGGATTTAATTACAGGCATAGCGATTCCTCCAGAAAAAAGCTACATATTTTTAAGCTCATTGTTTTCAGTGGGAGTGGGATAGAGTCCTGTACATGGAACCCCTATTCAGTTTTCTTAGATTTGGTCCCAGGCACATGTTAATAACATCAAAGTCAAAAAGAACTTAACTTTGGCAAAATACAGTCATGGTTTGGATGGAAATTTCAACAGGATTACATACATTCCTGTTTTTCCTCAAATCTAAGACCCAAGATTCCTCCCATATAAACATCTCTAAACGTGGAATACATGTAAGAATCACAGGTTCTTTTATATACAGTATATAAGTAAAGCTTTTTTTCTGTTGGTGGCATTGAAATTATTGTCTGTCTTACAGTTGATGGTGTCTTAGAATTGATGAACTACGGTCTTTATTTTTTAAGAGTATTCTGCAAGTAAAATTGAATATAATCAGAAGAACATGGTTTCAAGTACACATGTTTGAAACTGGGATTTCAATGTCTTGGAGTGTCAAATGTAGTGGCATTGCCATGACTTGGGTATATTTATTTGTTTGTTTGTTTGATTGATTGATTTATACCCTGCCTTTCTCCCAGTACAGGATCCAATAATGTCCTGCACTTTCACCTTTTTGGTAATTCAGAGTATCAATTAAGTTGTTGTGTTGGTAGACGTCACAAGAGTATAAGCTGTTGCAATGGAGAACATAATCTGCATGAATATGGAGGACAACTCTCAGCAGAACAAAGAAACGCAAACTGGGATGTGACTGGGCAAATAGAAAGAGGTTTAGCTTCATATAGCCCAGGCATGAGCAAACTAAGGCCCAGGGGCCAGATGCTGCTCCCTGGGTGCTTACCTCAGACCCACATTTTCCCTGTCCTCTTGGCATAGGGATACAATGGCCCGCTGCATCCCTATGCCAAAAAGATGGGGGTGGAAGGCACGCAGCAGCTGAGACCCCTCTGGAGTGCTCACAGCAAGAGCATGTCCCGCCCCCCTCCTGGCATAATGCTAAGAGGACAGCCTAAAGATGAGGGAGGAAAATGGGGAGTAGGATCTGGGAAGCTGCCGCACGTCTCACCTTCCTTCCTGGCATAAGGATGGGGCAAGTAGCCCCATCCGTATGGTGGGAGGACAACCTGAGGATGGCCCTAGCCCTGCTCTGCCCCCTCATGGGCCCTCCACCTCCTGGATCCGCCCCACCCAGCATGTGCCCAGCTGTCCTCCCATCCAATGAATAAATAGTTGTCATTTGTTCTGGGGTGAAATGCAAAGTATTGCACAGGGAGACACTCTTGCAGTGAGAACAACATCTAATTCTCAGTCCTGATCCCAGATCATTCTGCCAGGAACCGTGCAATGTCTATCTGTGCCCTCCTACCCGCACACTTTGGACCTTGAACTATACATGCTGCACTCATCATTATAGAGCATTTTAGTACAGGATGACAGATATCAACTCAAAATCACTATATAAGGTGTCTGGTGTCTGCAGGAAATAACAGCTTCACAACATCCATATTCAGCAAGGAGCCACTGTGATGTTACTACAAAAGGTAGCCAACAAAGTGACTTTCACATTTGGACTAATACACATAGGTTGCCAATGTATATCTGTAGAATGCAATGTGACTGGGACATCAAGGGGGTGCTGAAGTCCATTAGAAGAGTCTGATGCACCTTGAGACACTCTTGCTGGTGGCGTAATAACGAATTAGAGACTTGGATTTTTTTAATGCATTACCCACGCAGTTCCAAGGCTGATTTTGCAGTCATGAGGGCTTGTGAATTTTCTTTTCAGATAAAATTCTGAAAGCTTAGATTTGTCACAGTAATGAATTCTGTACATGTTATCCATTTGTGCTTTTGCTATACAGTGCAACAACCGCCCTGTCCCCATCCACAGGGAATGTGTTCCAAGGCCCTGTATGGTTACTTGAAACCATGGATAATAGCAAATTCTATATTTTGACTATCATTGGTCTGTAAGCAAACTATAAAATCACACTGGAGAACTTAAAAGAGGCCCACAAACACTCCACAGGGGAATGTTTTTAAGAACATGGGTAAGTGCAATCATAGATATTTAGTCCATAGTTAAGGGGGTCATGGTGTAAGTTATGCAACGACTCACTCAATAGATAAAGACTTGCAGTAATCTACAGCATTAGGGTTCCTGTTTTACAACATACACACAGAAAAATATGCACAACATTCCCACCAAAGTTACTACTTCTTATTTCCACACATATTTAAAAAGTAGCCAAGGTAGTCAGTGTTTTTCCCCTTCCAGATACGAAAGGATAAAGTAATTTGTTGCTGAAAGTAGCTCCACATAATGTTGGTCTCACCCTGTTGGGCTCACAGCATCCCATGAATTATGGTGGATAACAGATACTCCACAAAATAGCTTCCCACATTCTACTTTACACTTATATCCCCTGTAAATTGTCAGGGTCAACAAGAAGGAGCAGTTGCACATAGCACTCCCATAGTAATGGTGCCTGTCAAAAGCACTTCCATACTGTGCATAATCTCTTCAAAAGACATTTGATTTTATCTGCAGCGACAGGCAAGATAGAAATCCAGATGGTCATCCAGTTCATAGGGCTAAGCAGAGAGTGGAATCAGTTAACTGTTTCGCTCAGCACTGCTGCTGCTGAAAGGTGTGTGTGCGCATGCAGTGAAAATAATAGTATTTCTTCACTGCTTCTCTTTCCTAATGGCGACATAGCTTTGCAGCAAAAAGAGTCAGGTGGTGCTAAGCCCCTTCGTAGCTGATGAGTACCAGGTCCAAATCTGTTAATATAATCTAAGCATTCCTTTGGCGATTGCCGTACGTGATCATTTCATTAAATTACAGGACAGACAGGTCTTCATGCCAGGAGTGTGGGAACTGAATTGATTTCCAGGCAGCTTCTGTGCTAGCTCACTGCCACCACACTGCCTTTATAGTGTCAACCTTAAAGACCACATAAGTTATGAAAGCAGAAATGAACTGTATTTTATAGACTTTTATTCTGACCTTTCATGCTGCACAGCGGTAAACCATCTCCAAAAGATGGTGAGTGCTGTGTCATTAACCTGAAATACTAGGGCAGGAGCAGGTACCGTTGATCTTTCGGTTGACAAAAATGAGCGCACCCAAACTCCAAACATTTCTACTGACACAACTTTGTCGTAAGATGCTGGCAGAGTGGGTCTTAACGATTGGTGTTGCCTGTCAACCTCGGATAAATTGTTGTCATTTAAGTAAAAGGCAGTTGTAATGAGGCCAAAATGCTCCTTGGTTCAAGATCATCTCAGAAGACTGCTACAAAATTAATAAAGGCTCCTATGTCTTTTCCCAATTATACGCATGACCATAGCACTTAACCATAAAGTGCTTTAATCAGGCAAAGGGGAAGTTGCTGTCATTTACAATGTTTGAAGTGAGCAAGATGAGTTGTAGGTTGTTAACAGGGCAAATCCAAACCTATAATTTTTCATTGGGCTTTGCTGATTGCGCAGGTTGTAAACACACACCATTCCTCTATAGACGCAATTACTGAATGGTGTGCCTGGAGAATTTCAAGGGTAATGCAGATGTACCAGTGGAATAATATGAACTGAATTATAGTTTGGCTTTGTTTTTTTTACTTTGCTATTTTAAGCATTCTGTATCCACCCCCCATGTGAAGGCAATGCTAAATGCTTTGGTGAAAGAATAATTATTTTTTCCTTGCCTCCAGCTTCCAAGCTGCTTTATCGGAATTCCCATAATCATTCAAGTTATTCATTGGTTTCATTCTGCAGAAAGTGCCATTTTAAAAGATTGGCATCTGGCAATAACATTTTCTCCTCCTCCTCTCCTGTACAATGCCTCAGTTATTGCTTACAGGCATGGTGACATGGCATCTGCTGTTTCTCTTACCATCACAAGAAACGAGATGCCTTTGAATGCCTGAGGTATCCAGAAGGCATGAAGGTTAACAGCAATAGCTCAATTTGTGTCACTTCTATTAAATGTCACCATTTACACAGATTGACAATGTATGAAAACGAGCAAGCACAGCAGTTGCAATCAAAACCTTTGGTTTTGTGTTGTGTTGCATTCTGCACACACTCATATTAGACAAGGCACTGAACACAAAAGACACAATTTAAATTTCTCATTGTGCCTTGCAGTAGTCTTATACCAGATTCTGGAAGCCTGATACTTTGCTGCTATTGCAAGACCACTACTTTTTCTGTGCTAATTGCACAGGGGCTGGATGCCTCCATTCTCATGCATCAAGGGGGTTTACTGTACATGCTCATGTGGAAGTCTGGACATTTTAGTCCAAAGATGACACAAACAAACTTATCCATGGATAGAATGGTGAAAGGTGAGAGCATAATCTGTTCTGGGAGAACCTAAAAGAAACTGATCTCCTCTCCTCTCTCCATCATGTCATTTTTTATGTTTGGGTGAGTGGCCAGGAGCGGCTGCTCCCCTGAGATAGCACTGGAGCTTTCCTGTCTCTGTGGAATAATTCTTGACTTACCCACAGGTCATGCAAAGTTCATTTTGGGCTCAAAACCTGTCCTTGACTTATAAATGAGGTCAAGTATATACTGTAAGCTTTTACTTTTGGGGTAGTGACAGATCTGATAGACACCAAAAAAGTGAGTCAAGTCCTGTGAATGGTCAGCAAATGATAAACATAAGGGCAATTAATCAGACAGGTGCCCATGTCACAAAATACAAAAATTGTAAAGAGACCATTAGCCTATTGAAAGTATGAAATGCCTCCAGGCAACCATGCATTAAGACATTTGTAAATTGGATGCATTTTTCAAATGCATTTTACATCCAAGTTTGGGCAATTATCTGTTCCACAAAACTAACTAGAATCATGTGAGTTCGCTTTTTTCAGGTGTCTGTTATGCTACAACACTGAAGTGAAACTATCTCAACAATTTCCTCAACAACATCACATGAGATACAATTGAAAGTATGAAATGCCTCCAGGCAACCATGCACACAAACAAACTTATCCATGGATAGAATATATATATATTGTGTGTTTTGTGTGTTTTGCCATTTGTGGACCCTGGAGTCTTGGTTTTACCCACCTGCAGTTTCCATTTCCCATACAGATGTGTCACAGGGGCAGCTGCTGCACACTAAGTCCACAATTCCTGAACTGAGTCTACTCCAGTTAGAGGAGAAAGACTCTTGGGGAAAACTGTAATTTCCTAAGTGAATTTCCTAAGGAAAATGAGCAGATATTTTAAAGGTCACAAGGACCTTGAAATAGCCACCAGTATGGCTAATGGATAGAAAGAAGATTTGGATAATGTTGCAAGACCAATGTCTTCCACAAACATGTAACCTCCAGGGCAATGGGGCACTTAACTAGCTTATAGTTTCCTTGTCCTTAGAGTCTGTTTTTCCAAGATCTAAATGTCAGACAACATCCTCTCCAGTAATTTGAGCATCAGTGTGGTTAATGAAATTGCACTCTTCTGTCAATGCGGTTTTCCTAACTGCAGAACAAGGAGGAAACACAAGCTTCATCAGCATTGCAGTTAAAAGTGCTGTGGTAAATGGCATATAGTAGTTTCTGCTATAACGCATCTTTGTACAATGCAAATAATGTGGTTATTTAATAAAGGAATGCTGTAACATGATTCCCATCTTGAACATTCAAAAGCGAACTTCTCTACATTTGAACTTTAAGGCACAATCTTACCTTCCTTCATCATAGTTGCTCAGGTCATCAGCCACGTGAGTTCGAGAAGGTTTTCAGAAGTGTTTTGTAACGTTAGCTATGTGGGGTAAGGCTATGACACGCAGAGAGAAACTTAAGAAATAAAACCCAGCCTACTTGCCTCTCAACTGCTTCCAGTTCCAGTACCAACAGGTGCCAAGAAAGAAGAACTCTTTAAACTAATCCCCTCTCTGCACACCACTTTCTTTCTATTCCATGCCCTCATCTCTCTTGAAATCCTGTTGAGACCATATACGTGAAAAGTTACCTCTCGGGAATTTTGCCTCCACCCCATCTTCTTTTTCCTCCTGCCCTTTTCTCCCTCCAATGTGCCCCACCCAAACACCAACTTATGCAATGTGGAGGTATGCTGCAATCAGAGAAATATAAATACTTATATTTATATAAAACAAATATGCAGGCAGAAAAACTCCTGAAACTCAGCCAATTTTATTTTTATTTTCAGCAGATTAAAATTTGCTGTAAGTTAAATAAATAGATTAGATATAGGTAATATTTTTGAGACCTGCATATATCTTTGCATTTTCCTATAAGTTCTGTTATTTTTAAAGCGCAGATTACTATAATGCAGACTTTTTGGGAACATAGCTATCGCATTATTTCTGAACTAACTATTTTGTCCGTTTTGCTCATTTAATATTATTTTCCTTGCAAATTTGTCCACTGTCCTCCCCACCACACACAGAACTTTTTTTCTGCCTTACTAAATTTCATGTCTGATGTGTCCCTCTTCCATTAAAGGATGGCCAGTCCAGAACAGTAAGGCAGTTCCAGTTCACTGACTGGCCTGAACAAGGAGTGCCAAAGTCGGGAGAAGGGTTCATTGACTTCATAGGCCAAGTTCATAAAACAAAGGAGCAATTTGGACAAGATGGGCCAATCTCAGTTCACTGTAGGTAAGTAAAAAAGCCTGAGCTGCCATTGACTTTTTTTTTGGTCTTTGATTCCTGTGAAGATGCGCAAACCAATTGTACAGGTGTGGATGATTATGGAGGGAATTAATCTCAGGCCTCAATTGCGTATAAGAATATATTATAGAGGAGGCCAATTATTACTTGTAAATTAAGGTAACTGCCACCAACGTGAGGTATTTGAGGTACCACCGATGAGATCTGGCTTTACAGACGCAGATTAATTGAGATGAGACGGTCTTCAACAAAAGATAACAAGTTTATTGTGTACAAAGCGTATGGTTGCAGGCTGTTAAATAACTTACAGAACTTTGAATATCACTTGGTTTGTAATACAGTCCACTCTTCCAATTAACACAGCTCGTGGCTAACTTTTACTGAGGTGAAGCTCTTTAGTGAACAATGTTTCCCACTATAACTAGCCTTCCAATTTGATCTTTCCTTGATCAAATCTCTGATCTCTAGTCCTTCCTTGACTAAGGATCTTAACAGGCTTCCTTTAGTCTTTCTTGACTAAAGAAACTGGCCAGGTTTCTCTCTTCAGCCCTTCTAGACTGAAAAACCTCCAGCTGCTCACATACACCTCTCTCCCAGGCTTTTCAAGCCTCCACACTCACTCACACACTCACTGGCCCTTTTCCAAAGACGCCTAAATCTTTTCCTGCTTGGCTCCGCCCACTTCTCACTCTCCTGAGCTAGCCTGCCTGGTCTCCTTGGCAACACTCACTGTGGATTGAAACCAGATAACTCTAATTTTAGCTACTGTTACAAACACAAATATATACTCTAACAGTTAAACACATACATAGTATCAATGACTTCTTGAATGCCAAAGGAACATCATTTGAACTAACAGAAAATTCAAGTAATAAGAGGAGGGAGGGGGGCAGATTATAACGACTATTGTTAAGCATGCCACTATAATACAGGAATCCTCTTTTCAAATTTCATATCAGGAATGAAGTGAGAACCAGCATGGTATGGTGGTTACAACTAGGACTCTGGAAAACCAAAGTACATATCCCATTCATCCCTGGAATCCCACTGGGTGGTCTTGGGAGAAGCCTTACCCTAAGAAAGAGACAAAACCTCTCTAATAGATCTTGCCAAGAAAACTTTACAATAATTTTGTATTAAATTAGAGTCAAATTTGAGGCATATAACAACAGCAAATAAACTAATGGGTTGCATAAATGACTATGCAACCTATTATTTGCACAACCCACATCCTTCATCTATACCAGTGGGTCTTCAGATGTTTTGGCCTTCAACTCCCAGAAATCATAACAGCTGGTAAACTGGCTGGGATTCCTGGGAGTTGTAGACCAAAACACCTGGGGACCCACAAGTTGAAAAACACTGAGCTACACTATGGGAACAGTGATGATCAGGATTACTAGTGGGCAGTTTAAACAAGACACTTGGTTTCTAACAGACCAGTTTCTCTTTACAAGAGATTCATATGGTGATCTCGCTGTATGAGGCATTTGTGTAGTACCATGCACCCCCTTTGATGCCTTAGCTTACTAGCATACACAAGCTATCCATGTAGATTCAGCGGTGTGGGTGGCCCTAAAAGCCCTTAATACAAGATACTGGTCCAATGCCAGCTTGTGACTTTCATCTTGGTGGATTGAGGAATCCAAATCAGAATTTTGTCCAAAATTTTAAAAGGCCATCCAAAGGACTGTTACAGTTTGACACATAACCCTGCCCCTCATATTGGTGGTACTGGCATCCACCATTTATCCATATCTAGGCATTTTCTCGATCCTCCAGCATGAATCTGTGGTATGAGACAGTTAATCTGTATTCTGAAACTATGGCAGTATAGATGGGGCCTCACTGTAGGAGCTGTTTGATTATAGAACACACTACTTTAAAAACTGTTAGCTTCTTCTTTAGAGAAAATATTTCAGTAGAAGCTGAACAGCCATCTATCAGAAATGTTGGACCTGCATTGAGTAAAGTTGAACTAGGTGACCTCCCACATCCTTTTCAACCCCATGCTTTTCTTTGTTCAGATCTACTAGAGAGTATTTGTATTCCAGCATTTGTTGGATAATACCTGGATGAGAGATAAAGGGGCTTTTAAAAAATACTTTCCACATTTATTTTTATTTTCCATGCAACTATTTTAGAATTTTAAATTCACTAACAAAGAGCTAAAAACATCTTCCATTCTATCTAATTTAATAAATTGCTTTCTAAATCCCATTATGGATTACAAAACTAATTTCACAAAAGTCTGCTCAGTGTAATGCATCGAATTGTGTGTTTTATATAATGAAAAAACCTAGTTCCTGCAGTTATTAGGATCTCTTCTGTAGGCAAAACTAAACTTTCCCCATCCATTGTATTACTGTGGTGTTCAGGCTTCGTAGAAGCCACATCAAAACCAGTGGAAGAACTTTGTGAGAAATTACTATACAAGTATCGGCTTTCTCATTGTGGCCTGAGCCGTTACTATACTCCCCCTTGAATGTGAGTTAGGCAGCAAGCTTATTTGCCTTTTACCATTTGTCAGAAGCATGTGGACTAGAGATCAGCATGTGCACACAGGAAGAGCATGCTCGACTCCATCCCATCTTGGTTGTATCACAACCAATATGGCAGTACTTTAGAGTTGGTGGCAGTACTTTATCTTAACATAACAATCTTAACATAATAGGCATAGTTATATAGCAGCTTAAATTTGAAGAGTTGTGAATAATCGAGAGTACTTTAAGCAAGGTGGCAAGCGGGATTACACAGATAAATGTGGCCAATTGCTCCTTCTGCCGATCTCCTTATTTTAGAGATAAGTTAGCTAAGACTTAAGCACTAGAGCACAGAGTCAAAAGTGTGGGTGGAGTGCAGCACAAGGTTCAACACCCCACTCTTGTGGGAGGAGGTACTACCCAAAATACTCTTTGTACCTTCTGGGAAATATGAGGACAATTTTGCTGCTGCTGCTGCTGCTGCCGCCGCCGCCGCCGCCTCCTCCTCCTCTTCCTCTTCTTCTTCTCCTCCCTTTTTTCTTTTTTTTTCTTTTTGTCCATTCCAGACTACATTGTTTGGCAGCTTAGCCTATCCAAAGTTTTCTTCAAAAATCACAAATTTGTGGATTAATTAGATTTGGTTTCCTTGTGTTATACTGTCTGTCCCATTGTGTTCTGCGTTCTTTAGAAAACAAGGAATGTCTCATTTTTTTCTCCACACACCCTTTTCTGGTTTAAAATATTATTTGCAGTTGTCTTTTAAGGTAAGAAAGTCTAGAAAAATGATTAGCTGAAAACTGTCAGCATTTGAAGGAAAAGCTTTTAAGATACTTTTTTGTAGTTAGAAAGAAATATAGCAAACCATTCCTTTCTGTTGTAAAACCAACACAGACATTTTAATGATTTTCAAGTTTTTTCTAAAGTTGAAAGTGCAGTTTTTCATGTTTATAACTACTAAGAAAAAGGAGAATTTAGTATCTTTATCTCTCTATATTTCACTAGTTGGAATTTGGGAATGACCAGACTAGGCAAGCTATTGAAATCATAGGATTGAAGAAAACAATAGTCTCTATGTCCAAATTATAAATATTTGCAGTCTTAGTCACTGCTGTCATTTAGTGCTTCAAAACAGGCCATGGTCCTCCTCTGAGAGCATGGAAGAAATATTTTTCTTTGATACAGATTTATGGTCAGCAACTGATAACAGTGTTCTTTTTAAAGAAACAAGAGAAAGTACATGTATTGGATGCTCCATTTTTTCTATCCCTACAACCAGAGAGAGGAAAGACCAGGAAGTTGGGTATCCCTAGTACTTCCCATGGACTTTTCTACCCCCAAGTGCATTTGCTCCAGGGATGGCACCTCACTCACAGGCCACTAGCTCTCCTTCCTTTGCCCTTCTAAAGCCTGTTGGGCTCAATCCCAGATGGAAAGGTGAAGAATGAAAGACGGAAAGAGGGAGGGAGACCTCCATCCCCCCCCGGCAAACCCCATGAGCAATATCATGCCTGCACTGCCTCCCTAATCTCTCCCCCCTCTGCCTTCCAAACCTGATTCCTCTCCAATTTCTCCTAAAACACTGAAAGAAAGGACGAAAATAGCTTGACCAAACAAGTCTCCACAGCCTCAGCTGAGTGTCCCTTCGTGTTCAGTGGCTCTTTGGCACCCTCCTTCCCCTCCCACCTGTCTCCTTTCACCAGTTGCCCTTGAGTAAAGCATGATCAGGCTCCAACAGCATACTTTGTAACGGTGCCCTGAAGTCATGCTTAGTTGCTGAACCAGGGCTCCTAGGCAGTGGGCACTATTCTCACTGTCCTGTACTTGCTATGTGAGTGTGCATGTTCCCCTATATAATACATCTATGATTTGGTAATCTGCAGCATCAAAACTATTTCAAGGATATCTTTGGGAAAGAAAAGAACTGCTGTTGTAATGGTTCAGTTTGTGATTTACCAATTGTAACAAAAATTAATTTCCAAATTTGTCTTTCTTTTTTAATGCAACAGTGCGGGTGTTGGAAGGACTGGAGTGTTCATAACTCTGAGCATTGTATTGGAAAGAATGAGATACGAAGGTGTGGTAGATATCTTCCAGACTGTCAAAATGTTAAGGACACAACGGCCGGCCATGGTACAAACAGAGGTAAGAAAAGTAGCAATATAAATAGGTGGATGTAAAGGAAGAGAATAATGACAAATAGCTATGTGTGTATGTTTGTTTACAGCTGTTCAGGTGGCAATCCTGCAAAATAATTACATTGCAGATTTTAAGTCCTATGTAGTTAGAGTCTTAAAGAAATACCCAACACCCTGTTCTTGTAGACTCAAATGCCATTCTGCAGGGAATTGAAAACCTGGGTGTTCCAGTGTGCATTTGATGACATTAGTCCCTGTCCATGAATGTCCAGCTCAGTTTTACGATAAGGTTGCACTCAGCAGTTTACTCCCCACCGTGGCCCCACAGTCTGTTTTTTGCACATATCCATGCCCAGTGCCCCCTCCCCCTAAGTCTGATCATGTCCATTATATTCCTAGTCACTGGTTGCCGAGTTGATTTGATATAGTTTTAACATTGTTTTTATGCCTTGCTGTTTTCATTGTGTTATAATTGGCTGTCATATGTTATTATGTTTTAAACTGTGTTTTGTTTTTGTTGGCAAATTTTGTTGTACATTTTGGACTCAGTCCCACTTGTAAGCTGCCCCAAGTCCCTTCCAGGAGATGGTGGCAAGATATAAAAGTAAAGTTGTTGTTATTGTTATTATTATTTTCTAGTGCAGTAGACAGAAGCTGGATCTACACTGCCATATGGTTAGTGTAGACTCATATGATGCTTTTCAGTGCAGTTCAAACTGCATTATATGGGTCTATACTAATATTATAATGCAATTCAAACTGCATTATCTGGCAGTGCAGATCCAGCCTTAATCAGTATTAAGAAATTTGCTGCCTTAAACATACATTGAGCCTATAACTGGAGAAGAGCATGCAGACATATTTTAACATCTACTTCTTTCTTTCTCTTTTCAAGGATCAATACCAGTTCTGCTACCGAGCCGCACTAGAATACCTGGGCAGCTTTGATCACTATGCAACGTAAAACAAACCCTGTCCCACCCTGGATTTTTAACTGTGGGCCCTTTAAGATCCAGAGAGCCTCTTCTGAGCCATACTGTGTGCTTGAGAAGTACTTTATAACTCCTAACTAAAGACCAATTAGTGGGAAATATTAAAAGGAAAAAAAACCTATTCCAGGTGGACCAACAATTCACAGTTCAATAAACCTAACCAGAACATAATAAAAGGATCTTGACTGGTTGAGGCATCTGAAGGAGTTCATATTAAAGACACCTCAAAGGATTCAATTTCAGTTGAAACTAAAGGGAAGAAGAAATTTTGGCAAAGAACCGTTCTCTTGTTCCAGGATTGCATGATGGTGAACAGTGCAGATTTTGACACGTACTGCAGTTCAGCGCAAGGTGCCTGCCGAAAGGGCCAGAACCTGGCTTTTCTAAAAGAAAATGGATTCTTTGCTTCAACATCTCCCCTTCCCACCATGTTGCTCATGAATAACTCTTGGGGGGTGGGAGGGGAAAGGGCGAATGTTTCAAAAGAAAGTCCTTGATTTAGTTTTTTAGTATTGTAAAGATACTGCTGACCTGTGCTTCATTTTTAACTGTGTAAACTTTTTTCCTTTTTTTTAAACAAAGGTTTATCATTCAATGAAGTGAATTTAAAAAAAAGTTGCATAACTGTTCATTTTTTTGTTTCAAAATTGTAGATTTTTTTATGCTGTAGAACTGTTACCTGTAATATCTTGCTGTAGAAATGTTAAATAATTTTGAAAATTTGCACATTTTTGTGCAGCCCTATATTTATCTCCAGGACCACATTCTCATTTAGGAATTACTTTTACATTATAAGTTTTTTTAATGAAATATAACTCAGTTAATCTACATACGGATATTTTAGTTTGGTTTTTCTTTTGGAATCAACAGGGAAGCGCAAAGTATAAAGCTGCTACTAACATACACACACACACATACACACCTTTCTCTTTCTGTCTATAAATATATGTATATCTCTCTGTCTCTCTATCCATCTACAATAATATGCGTAGATAGATAGACAGAAGTGCACATAAGTATAAATGTATATATTATGTATACACATGTATCAGTTCTTCCATGACTTGGATGTATTGAAGCAGTAGGGGGGAAATCCAAAACGCTACATTCAGTCTGTACAATATTTCTAAACATCTTTGCATTTCAAAAAATTGTGTTTGAGGGTTTTTGCTTCTTCTTTTCTTTTCTTTTGAAAAAATTTTTACAGAGGAAATGAGGAATGCACATCAGTGATACTTGAAATTCAGTCCTACAGAAAAAAGGGACAAAAATTTGTGTACACACACATCACAAACATGCATATACACACACACAAACACTTTTAATTTTAAAGCTTCCAGTGAAGTTTGGTATTTGTAACACCTTAGTGCAATAATAAACCATACTTAATATAGGAAGTGTGCATGTGGGAAAGGTCAGTGCATATCCCCCTAGGAGGGGAGAATGTTGTAATATAATAGTTGTCAAAATGTTTTAACATGTATCCGTATAATTGTCTAAAGTACACAGTAGGACCTTTGCATTGATGATGTATAATGGGGCAAAGCCAAACTCATGTTGCTCTGTTAATCAGAAATATTTCATGATAAACAGCATTCATTAGAGATGCTGAGGTTTTTTTAATTTTTTTGCATTTAGAGTGCCTTATATTTGATGCCTATTTTGATAGCATTTCTTCAAATTTTGTTTTGCCTGTATGTGCATTGGTTGGATCCATATTTCTCTGTTTACTCTCCTCGCTCCCTCCCAACCTTCAATTAAAGCATTATCTTTTCAGCAATTGTACAAAGAGGTCTTTAACAATATGCATTCCTGGTGTTTCCCTAAGAGTTCAGCGTAAGGAAATGTTGATCCAAAGCCGTTGGGTAGTCAGGGGCCCTTTATCTGACCACAGTGTCCAGCAGCAGGCAAAGCTCCTATGAGTATGTTGTTCCTTCCAAACTGGCATTCATATCCATTGCATTGCCAATATGAAAAGACGAGAGAATTCTCCTAACAGTTGTAGGAGTAGCAACTAGAATGCCTTATGATTCACTTACTTGCACATGAATTTCTTTGGAGGCCAGATCATAATCATTTTACTTAAGCAAGGAGGCTTCCTGAGATGAACTAGGTCAGGCAAGTAGACAAAGGGCATTCATTTATATTAGATAAGATTTTTTTCTTATGTACCGCACAATACATTCTCTGAGATGTTATAGTAGAAGCCATTTGCTCTTACACTGGTCTGGGTTAAGCCTGGTACCATGTTCGAACACTAATATCGAAGGGACACTTTTAGATGTGGTTTAAAAGGCTATAGTTGTTTTATCTTGACTTGGATTTCTTTTATGCCATGTTTTCCATCACAATCTGAAAAACAATATATAGTAAAAGACCAAACACTAGAAAGCATTCTATTAGAGCACTTTTATATAGAAAAATATTAAAAGCTCAAAAATGGGAAAAAAATTAAACATATATATGTAATATAACTAAAAAGTATTATAGAAGGCTACCTCAGAATGAGATTCTCTAATTTACATCCGAATCAGACATGAATGTGCACTGTATGTTTCATATTTGATTTGTTTCTGTTGGAAAAAAATCACTTAGAAGTGCCAGATTAAACAGCGATCTCATGCTTTTAGCCAAAAGTACAACTGACAGGTGGGAAATAACATGCAACATTTTTAGAAGCATAGAGGGAAAGCATGTCTGGTTTTCGAACCTGAGCACACAATTGAAGGCATCCAAAGCAATACCCCACCGGGAGGCATCATTTTGGATGGGGTTTGTTTTGTCTTTGCTCTGTGCGGTAACTGGAGTATACCAGAAGCCATTGACGCCTGTGCACAGCCACTGTGTGGTTTGGAAAATCAGGTTGCCCACAGCAGAGCTCCAAAGGAAAGCCCTTGCAGACATGTTGTGAGAACTGGAAGGCCCATCCCTCATTAGAGCAATGAACAAGCCAGGCCTTCCTTTCTTCAAAAGTCATTGGGTTTTTACAGGGAAAGTATTAGGTAAACCACTAGTGAGGGTTAACCGTGTGTCACAAGACAAAAAAAAGTAATAACCACACATTTCCCCATCAAAACTGCTGTTCAGACATTGCTTCTATTCGAATCATTGATGTGCATTCCATTTCTGTCACTTTGCTGTGCAGTGATTTCTCTTTGTATTCTTTTCTTTATTCTTTTTTAATTAGTGGGTTTCATTATCTGCCATTTAACGAGCTCAGAATTTCCTTTCATCAGCATAATCAGTACGGTGCTATTATTTACCTATGTATGTGTAGTTATGTATAATTTTGTAATTAGTTAACAATGGAGAAATACGCAAAATATATAAAAATTATTTGTACAGAACTTTTATTTTAGCTCTTTTTTACAAAAAAAATAATGGTTTGCATGGTTACATGTTGGTGAGGATGGCTGGGGAAAGGGAGGGATTCCTCTAGGGAGATTTGCACTTTCTATACCTTTGTACTATGCACTGCCCTATTGATTCTACACCCAATAGTATTATTACTTGAACCCATCTGTAAGAATACTGCTTATGAAAATCCACTTGTGTGTATGTAAATAACACAAAACATATTAAAAAGGGGGGAGAGTTTGCAGGGGCAACAACAAAATGCAGGTTCCCCTCCCTTTTCTTTTCCTTTCCCCCTTTACTATTTTAATCTCTCTATCTCTCTTTTTTATTTTTGAGTGCCCTGATACTCCAACAGAATATCCCAGGGCTGCTGGTCCCGTCATCCATCTTGTTGCGTGGCTTTGCCATTCAAGCTTGGAGTGTCTTTACAAAGATAATACGAGTTGTGTTCTTTGCTCTCGTTTTGGATGCCTAGACTGAAAAAAATTTCAAAAAAACCTTGTAAAATGGCTTGTTAAAAATACAATTACCTCTAATTAGTAGTACGCGTAAATGTTTTACAGAATGAAAGGCGTGCTTTTTATTTTCTTACTTCGTTACATTGGTGGCGAAAGAAAGTCTGTATGAAAATCAGTTCTTTGCTGACACAAGTTCCATTTGTTACAAATGAATTCTAATAAAAATGTCAGTGTTATGCAGCCCTGATTGTCTTTTCTTAAGCCTTTCTGGATTTTAAAAAATGGTTCATTACAGTCAACCTCCCAATGTCCAGGTTGTTCAATCACACATGAAGCAAGCAGTTCAGAGGAGAGGCAGCAATATTTTGAAGTAGCATTTTGAGGTATTCTTTATACTCAAATTTATGTCAGAGTGATGGAGTGTTACTGGATTATACTGCAGATTCAGAGCCTCGGCTCATTTACACTTACACAAAAATCTGGGACTACTTCAGAGCAGACTGGCCTCGGATGATCCTGAGATGTTCAGATGTTTCACCCCTGATCACAAGCAGAATTCAGACGGTCAAATCAGGCTGAAACTGTTTGGACCCCAAACAGTTTGGGAATTGTCACCTTTACCTATCTTGTCACAGCAACTGACCGTGCAACAAAGGCGCCTACCCAACCAAGGGGAAAGGACAAGGGTGATCTTGGGAATGACTTGGCCCATTTTCCCTGAGCTGCCAAAATTTGGGATTGCTCCCAAGTGGATTTTGAATATACCCTTGATTTCAGGTTTTTATAACCATATTATCTGAAACACAACAAAATGTCTTGCAGAGCCTTTCTTGATTACACAGTGCAGTGGTATGCCTTCATGGCAGGCGTTTGATGGCCCTTGTGCTCCCTTCCAACCCTGTGATTCTGTGAACTGCTGTAGCATGGCAGTATTTTGTGCTTTGATTAGATACATCTACCATGAAATACTCAGGTCTTCTGTCAACATTGTGCCCAAAGTACCAGCAAAACTCTGGAGCATTCTCCGAGTTTCCTTAGCATGCAGTTAAATCAATTCACTTCAGCTTGTCCTACATTAAGAACTAGAAGTCCATGGACATCATGTGAACATCTAGGAGAGGCTTGTAGATGTTCACATTATGTTTTGGGGCTTGTGTAGACAAATCCTATGTAAGCACTGCCCCGGACAACTTAAAGAGCCAGGAGCCAGGTGGGGTAAAGAAGAAACTTTCAGCGAGAAGGATGATATTTCCAACTAGCTCTGTGAGCAAGGTTAAGGCAATTGGAAGCAGGACCCACAACTGCTTTTTGCAGGCTCACTTAATGAAGGGACCTTCACGTAATCCAGTTGCTGCCAGGTAAAGTGTGTGGCAAAGATCCAGGTCAAGAGAAATATAATTTCAATTGAAAGTAAACTGCATAAGTCTACATCAACATTAGTTGCCAGATCTGAGAAGGGTTTAAATACTCTGGGTTATTTTGAGCTGCAGAGTTGAGCTGAAATGCAGGATTTGATAGATGTTGAAAATATAAGGAAATAGTAAAAGGCAGTGAACTGATAAATGTTATCTTTTTCAGAAGACACGTGTTTAAGAAATCAAGTGTTCCTACTCTTGCAATTATAATTATGTTGATAAATGGAAAAATATGTATTGCCTCACTATTGTAATGTCACTTTTTTTTAGAAGGAATGGAAATACTTGCCTGGACGTATGAATAATGAATAATGTCCTGATAAATAATGAACAATAGGGAAACATCATATATTTCAGATGTAGACAGAAGCCAAAGTTACCAGTACCGCTGTTCATGTTTAACCTTAGCCCTATAGCATTAATCTGCCTCAAAAGGCATTGGGATAACCGTCTTATAAGCGTTGTTTTTTTTAAATTTTGTCTGATAAATAAATATTTGCTTCTCATTCTGTTTCATGCTATTTCATTTCATGATTTCTCTCCACATTACCGCTCAAACATTTTTGCAGCAGTTGGTCACACAGTAGCAATAGTGCTGTTATTACAATTAATTAGTGATTGTGTATACAGAGCAATTACCTAGATTTGAGCCACTGTGGGGCATTGGACCAGGACTCAAGGGTTCAAATCGACCAAGGAAACCCTTTGGGTGGCCTTGGAGAAGTCACACTCTCAGCCTTGGAGAAAGGCTTGGGCGACCCCCCCCCCAGACAAATATTGCCCAAAAAACCCTGTGAAACCCTGTCAAAAAGGTCTTGAAGGCACACAACAAAATGTTCCATATTCAGAATTCCTTCTTTGTCACAATTGTTACGCTATTTCCACGATACTGACTTTCTCTCAACTTATTTAACTCGCCATGAGATCCAGTCTGCCAGTGATTGTATACTTCACTAGGTAGCTGGCACAAACTACTGGCCCATAGTTTTAGGAAACCCCAAAATTGGAGCTTGAGAGCTAGATAGTCTCGCGCTCTCTCTCTCTTGCTCTTTATTTATCACACATGTAAAGAAAGAGACTAAAAATTATTACATACGAAACTAATAATAGCCTGATCCATCTCACTGTTCATCTGTCCTTACTTTTAGACAATCAGCATTCAATTGGACTAAAGTCTGAAAAGTTGGAAAACTACGGGGGATTCGTGAAGAAGACACCCCTTATGTTATGCATGATTCCAGACACAGTGCATTATGAAAGTGTCACTTTGAGAAGTTCTATCAATGTTTGCAGAGGAAGGACAAAATAGACAGAAGTTTTAGTCTCCCCTGTTCAATTCCCTAGTTCAACTGCTTTAGATAATGACTGCCACTTTACATTGCACTTCCAGTAACCTACAGTTATGGCTCCGTAACTGATCAGTTTTCAGCCATCTTCTGAATTCACAATTGTGGCACTATTGCTATGATTACACACCCACCCCCACACAATCTACCTTAACATCCAGCAGCACATTGAGTGATCAAGATCTGTCATACTACCAACTGGGGCCAGCAATATGGCTGTTCCAGTGTCCTCTCACCAGCAAACTCAGATGTGACCATCAGAAGCAGGACCTCTGTCAAAATTAGCAATTATGCTAGAGATTCGTGGCTAGAAGAGGTTGAAAATCTCATCCTGCTGCTTCCTAATAACCACCAGGCCAGACCACTGTTTTTTGATGTTGCTGTTGGCTCTTAAAGTAGGTTTGAGGAGTCGACTCAGGAGATGAGGTGTAACTATTAGGGCTGAGCAACCACGGAAAAAATTGTTTCTAAACTCGATTCGTTTTTAGGGGGTTTTTGCGTTTCGTTTTTTAAAAGAATTCCGAAATTTTTCTTTAAAAAAGTTCGATATTTACGAAATTTCGGAATTACAAAACAATTTCGAAACAATAACGAATCGATTCGTTAATGGCGGACGCGATTGCGCAATACGCTAAAAAACCCTCCAAATGGGACAGGGGGAACTTCTGAAGCTTCCCTCTCCCTCTGTTGTTGACTGTTGGTGTGATAATTTATTTTTTTATCACTGATAAAACAAACAACAACTATAAAACTTGCACCAGACATACGGAAATAATAACGAAATAATAACGAAACAATTTCAAAACAATTACGAAACAATTACGAAATAAATTTTAAAAATTCGTTTCGATTTTTAGTTGCTCCTGAATGGTTCAATATCGCTTCGTTATAAAAAATAACGAATTAATAACGAATTACGAAATTAACAAACGAAACCGCCCAGCCCTAGTAACTATGCCTCTGGTATAGGATGATAGTGAATACTGGTAAAGGAAATACAGCATTCAAACCAGGCCTCAAGTATTCATGATCAAACTTCCCATAGTTCCTCAGTCCCCACATGTACTTTGTTGAATGAAAAATCCTAAGGGATATCCACTTAGTGCTCATTTTGATGAAAGCAGAAAGCTCCATGGGGTCAGGGGCTCTGATTAAAGTCTTCTTGTTCAGTAATTGGATTCAAGGGATGAGAAGGTATAGTGTGCCTCCATAGAGTGGCTACAGTCGTGACACCACCTATTTATTATTTATTTATTTATTTATGATATTTCTTGCCTGCCTTTCTCAGCCCTAAGGCGACTCAAGGCGGGTTACTGATTGGCAACAATTTGATGCCACACATTCTTTAAAAACATTCACCATAACATTATAAAAACCATATAAAAAACCAGTACCTATGGTTCCTACTGCTCCATCAGGGCCTACTGCCCTGATACTTCGCCCACTTACTGCTCTCGCATGCTTTTCGCAAATATCCAAACAGGAATTTTGGATCTGTTATCTACTAAACAGAAATGTTTATCTTGAATGAAAACCTTTGTAAAAACATTTCCAGCTGAACTACCTTCTTGATTACTGTAATGTGTGTAAAATGTCTGTATCATTGCCTCTTTGTGAACATCCCCAGGATGCTTTGCATAGAACAAAAGTATTAATAAACACAATGAGTTAATTTTAAAGTTGTCATGCTACCATGTTAGAAATACTTGCTGGAATCATATGTGTCCTGCTGCCTTACATAACGTTATGTATACCTAGCTATGCATCAGAGGTGCTAAGAAACAGCTTTCATGAATTGTGAAGATACATAATGGAACCCTGGTAAAACCACCTTATGTGCATTTGGAATGCATTGGATGCACCACACACATCAGTGTGCACTGCAGTATATGGATGTGATGCACACTGATGTGGTGTAATGCTTTAGTTACATCCCGTATAGACTAGTGCAATGCACTCTACATAGGGTTGCCTTTGAAGACTGTTTGGAAGCTTCAAATGGTCCAACGGGCGGCAGCCAGATTGTTTACCGGAGCAGTGTTCAGGGAGCATACAACTCCTCTGTTATGCTAGCTCCATTGGCTACTGGTTTGCTATCGGGCACAATTCTAAGTGCTGGCTTTAGCCTATAAAGCCCTAAGTGGCCCCAGGCCAGCTTACCTGTCTGAACGTATCTCTCCCTATGAACCATCTAGCAGTTTAAAATCGTTCAGGGAGGCCCTGCTCTCAGTCCCCCCTTTTTCACAGGAATGACTGGCGAGAGACAGGGCCTTCTCAGTGATGGCCCTCGGCTGTGTAACACCCTCCCTGGGGATATTAGATCAACCCCCTCCTTATTGACCTTCCAGAAAAAAAGTGAAAATGTGGCTATTTGAACAAGCTTTCAGAATCTAATGCAACAGTCAAACACAGAATTAGACGAAATTGAACATTGGAATGGTTCAGACAATGATTTTTGGACAATGAGACTAACAATTAA